CCTTTTCGGCTCCACTGTTAACTGATGCAGGGCTCTGCTGGTGTCTACACTTCAGTCAATTCATGCCTGCACATGCCAGACTGAGGAGGAAGCAGGCAGTGTAAGGCAAGGATACACCGCGCCTGTGACCAGACAATGAAAGGGTTTCTTTCCATTCACACATCGCCCCGACTGCAGGGTCTCTCCGCTTTACGCTGGCCACGGCCGGGACAGCGCCAAGTCACCATATGTCAAGAGCATTCTCTAGGAATACTGACTCGGGGATCTAATCTCAAGAAGCCACAGGGTGTCAAGGATCCCAGCTTCAGGGCTGGGCTGGGCTGGGCTGGGCTGTAAAATGAGTTTAGTTTTTCCTAGAACAACTATCTGAAGGGCTGACATCTTTCAGAGCAACTGCAGTCCATGGAAAGATACATACAAGTAGATATCTTATTTCCAGAAGCAGCGCTCACAGGCACTAAGGACCATATGCACTTGATGTCATTTTCAAAAGATGAGCTGGCCCAGGTCTGGGTACAGGAGCAGCAGCTAAGACAGGCAGACAGCACCGACGATGACCACTGGAGATGAGTGAGAACTGGGTGGTCTCACAGCCCCTCATGAGGAAGGAGAGGCTTCAAACACAAGGCTGTAAAGACCCAATGGCCCTCCACCACTCAAGTTAAATGCAAACCACTTGCTTTCCCCGTGACCTCCAATCAGGTTCTCTGAGCTTCTCTCTGGACCTGCTGGCCTCCCTGGGCTGTCCTGCTCCCCTCAAAAGCCTCTGCCATCCTCCTGAGTCTTCCGAACAGTACCACACTGCAGAGTGGACATAGAACGTGAGAAGGGGTGGTATACCACGTGGGTATAACTTGGTCAGGGAGGATCTTTCGGGAGGCCTAGCCTCTCCCCAGTGCAGCTTTGTCTCCTCCCACCTAAGCTCTCGGAAAAGTACTAACACCACACACCACCTTGGCTCTGCATTATCAGCACCAGAGGTCCACCATACACTGACCAGTAAAAGGGACCAAAGATGAGAAGTTGAAGTCTATAGTCCCACGACAGCGTGGGGTCACTACCCATCTGATGATCACGACTGTCGCATGTGGCGGAGAAGATATTCATAATTACTCTCGGGAAGCACACACTGCAGCATTAATAAAGGGCGGAGTCTTGTGAGAGTTCCCCATCCACACTGGCGTGCCAAGCAGGGTTGTCCTTGCTCGGGTCTTGTTTAGGTGACCACATTGAGATTTTACAGGGCAGCCAGCTTTCCTGTCCTATATAGATGACACAATCTCACAGCAAATGTCCTATTCCTCTGGTTTGTACTCTGCTACTCCCTCCCCCACCATGAAATTGGGTGAGTAGGGAGATGGGGAGGATGCAGGAGAAGAAAAGAATAAGATCAAAACATTGTGTGAAAGTTTCAAAGAATTAATTAATAAACATTTTTAAAGAATAAGCTAAGGGAATCATGGCGAAAACAACACACACACACACACACACACACACACACACACACACACACACATGAGAAGACAAGCTGGCATATTAACAAAGTTCTCTGTATGGTTCTAGAAATTATTCAAAAAGGAAAGCTGCCACCAATTCCCACGATACAGAGCATGCATGTTCGAGTGACAGCTGCCTGCAGAGCCGCCCTGGGAGTCCAGAAGTCAGAGGTGTACAGGACTGGGCATTCACTCGTGACCTCCTCTTCTCTCCTTATCCGGCTTCAGTCTCCACAGCTCCGCCTCACACTGCCCCACTGTTCTCAAATGCACCCAACGTACAGCAACCGCAAAACGGCACCTCCATTCCCCTAACTAGTGACTTGGCGAGACACCCTGCCAGGCTTTGGAAGGTTGGAGGCGACAAAAGCTAACACTTGAGAGAAGACAACCGCCCCGGTGCACGCACTAAATTTCAGAGGCTTCGGTGCATCCTGTCAAGAAGGCGAGCGATGGGTACCAGCTCAGCAATGGGTCATCTGAAGTCATTATTCTCCCACTTCCTGCCTGGCTTCCTGTCCCGTGTTCAACAATGGACCATTCGTGTGACGACAGACAATGGACTGCTCTTCCAACCAGCAAGACCGGTGGCTGCAGCTTTTGAGGTCACTGTGTCACTGTCTTGAGTTTGAGGGTGACAGTTTGAACTGGCTGTCGACACCTACCCTTTGGAGAGTTATCTGCCTCATTTTAGAGGAATTAGGGTCTAATTAGCATCTATTCCTTCCCGCAGCCAACTAAGGAAGCTTTAAAGTCCTTTATTAGTGACTGCACTTCAGCATTGGGTTAAGACATGCTAAGGGTTGGCGAGAGGGCTCAATTGGTAAGAGCCCTAGTCACAGGAGTTCCCTTGTCTGGGTTAGACCCTGCAAGCCACATAAAAATGCTGGACGTGATGGAGTATGCATCTGTCATCCCAGCACCGGTGAGGCGGACATACAGGAATGAGAATCGCCCAGACGCTTGTAGGCCTGCTAGTTCAAAGCAGAGAACCAATTGTCAAAAGTTATTCTCTGACCTCTACACATGCACAGCGGCCTCAAAGGTGTATACGATCACACTCACACAAATGAAAAAGATACACAAAATAAAATATAAAATCTTGCAAAATAGTACAGCGATGTTTATCTACATTTACTGTGTGAAAAGGATGGGAAATAACAAAGTTATATCAGATGCAACCATCACAAGATGTATACTTAAACATGCAACCATGAAATAACGTTATCAGGAAAGCAGGAGGCCGGGCACACACAGCCATGGTCTCATCCTCTACAAGGCCAGCTGGGTGAGGGAAGAATCTGAGATGGTACATAGCACATCAGTATGGAACCTGCACCATCCATCACCTGGATGCCCTCCCTGAGGGGCCAGCCAGAGGATGTGACAGCACTCTCACTACCTACCCCTGACTTGGACCACTCTCAGTCACTCACAGTCCCCAGGGAGCTGCTTCAACATGCCCATCTGGGAGGGCCTCCTAGCCCTCTGCCCATACCTTATGATTTAAAATGAAACTTGCACAAAAATATCCATCAAACGCCTGGTTCTGCAGACAAAGGCTTCGATACGACCCGAGAGTGGGGTGCTGTGTGAGCTCCTCTCAGTGTACAAACCCCGGCAGTACGAAGACCTGCTCCCAGCCACATCCCTCCTGAAACACCCACACCCACTGGCATCACAGCCGGTTCCTAGCAAGACTTAGAGGTCTCTGTGTTTGGCAGAAATGGCGTGTGTGGTGGTTTGAAAGGAAATGGCCCCCAAAGGGAATGGTACTTTTAGGAGGAAGTGTGTCACTGTGGGATCAGGCTTTGAGGTCTCTTTTCCTCAAGCTTCCCTCGGTGTGACAGTCAGCCGACTTCCTGTTGCCTGAGTCAAGATGCAGGACTCTAACTCCAGTACCACAGCTGCCTGCAAGTCGCCATGCTCTCCGCCATGATGAAAACGGACTGAACCTCAAACTGTAAGCCAGCACCCTTAATTAAATGTTTTCATTTATAACAATTGCCACGCTCATGGTGTCTCTTCAGAGCAATAAAAGCCTAACTAAGACAGCCTGTCCTCCTGAACTCTGAACCCAACTCCAGTCCAAGACTAAAATGCAGTCCCTCACTTTCTTGAAGAGCCTCCTGTCCTTTACCCCTGTCCTCAGCAGAAGGACCAGGCTCCTGAACGCTCCATGGCCTCATATAGTCAACAAGTTCAGTCCCACAGAAACTGAAATCTCTAAAGAATCCAAGGCCGAGGGATTAGTGGATGCAACTTTGGTGGTAAATTATGAAATCAACCAATCTTCCCGAAAGATTGCCATTTTCGATCCAGGCTAAGAAGGAATTTATATTCTGCGAAGGGATCCGTGTCAGGGGGTGGATGCCAGGCTTGTGCCAGCTAAACACAATATCGTGAAAAATTCCTTAGCTCATTCATCAACGTGACAGCTCCCATTTAATGACAGAAGCATAACGGTAGCGCGTGCGCACACACGCACATCCCCCAACACACCCCATGGAAAAGCAGGAAGGGGAACTGAAATTATTCTCAAGGTCCAGGACTCCCTGACAGATTTGCCACTCAGAAGAAAGAAGACTCCTCAGTGGGGGTGGGAAGGGGTAGGGTGGTGGCAGTGGTGGAGTCCCTATGTGTCTGAGGAAGGTCTGAGTAACCCTGCAGGCAGAAAAGACCCCAAGCAATTCACAGGGAACACTCACTTACTTTGGACGCACTGGCTAATTAGAAAATGTCTACATAAAGACAGAAACACCTCAAGGTCCTATGCCTGACATCTCTCCAGAGAGGAGAGAGGTTTCATTTGAATGAAGGAGATGGAGCCAAGTTACTTTAGGACACTTTGTTAAGAAACTGGTCACCCCACCCACAGCCATCCTGAACCTCAGAATCAAAGCCCATACCCTCAAAAGTGGATTCCCTGGGAAAGGGGGTACCAAACAGACAAATGTGTTCATTCTATCAGGTGAGCACCAAAGCTGTTTTTAAACATACTGCTACTAAAGAAAATGATGAACTAAGTTAATTATTATGATAACTAAAGTCAAGAACATACCTGAGAAATCTATGGAGCAGCCATCCATCCTTATTTAACCTTCACGAGGTTCACATCGTCAGCTACTGATTACTGCTCTCCTAACACATTTCAGTAACCAAATGTGCAATGTCCTTGGCAGCCTTGTTTGTAGTCCTGGCTGAATGACAGTCTAGAATTTAATAGCTCTACCTACATGGAGAAGCACCTTACACGAACTGAAAACTAAGTGCTCCATATTTATGTGGGACTATTTCAAGATGTATATAAAGAACCTTTTAAAGGAATTTTAAACCCTAATATGCTGAGGTCTCTTGCACATAAAACACCTCTTGTGGCTTTACACTGTGCCTTAGCTAAAGGCAAACACCCAGATACAACAGGAGCAGACGTAAGGAGAGGAATGAAGTAGGCTGCAGCTTGTCAGTCTCCCTTCTCATGGGGGTGGGGATGGGGGTCCTTACCCTCCTTGTGTAAGATTCGTTGAACTCGTCTCCAATCCGCCGAAGCTCCTGTGCAATCCAGATCTCCGGGCGAATATCTGCAGGTTCCTCCTGAGACTGCCTTATGGAAGCTGTGTGGGCACAAAGAAACCAGAAATCATGCCAGGGTCCACAGCACTGAGAACATCACACCTGAGTTTCTAGGAGCAAACCCATCTCACACATTCATCCTTCTGGAAGCCAGGGGGCTTCAGGGACTCTCACTCTGGTGCTGAGAACCATGAAGGAAGCATCATCTTAGTCAATGGCCTCAGCAGGTTTCTGCTGCTGAGAAACCGATTTATTTGACTCTCACAGTTGATCACAGTCCATCAACCGTGAGATGTCAAGGAGCAGAGGCAAAAGAAGCAGCAATGTTGCTTACTGGCTTGCTCGCCATGGCTTGCTAAACCTGCCTTCTTATACAACCCAGGGCCACCTGCCCAGGCTGGCACTGCCTGCAGCGGGCTGGGCCCACACAACCATTTATCAAGAAACTACCCCAGAGATTTCCCTACATGCAACCCGAGGAAGGGAACTCCTCAGTAAGGATTCCCTCTTCCCAGGAGACTCTAGCTTGTGTCAAGTTGACCAACACAACAAAGCAGAACCAGCGGTCAATGTAGAAGTGACAAAGAATTAACTTCACAGAATTGGAGACTCAGTCTTACAAGAACTAAATCATCCTGGCCCAGCCACACATACAGCTATTCCAAAAAGAGTCCTTAGCCGCACAGTGGAGATCACCAAAGAAACACAACAGCAACTGGTGATAGACCTTGGGACTCCAAACCTGACAAGCTTGAGTTGGGTCCCCAGAATCTTCAAGACGAAGGCAGAGCATTGACTCCACAGCTGACTTCTGCCTTACCCATGAACACAAAGTAAATGTAACGATGATGATAAAGAAATAAGTAGCCAGGCGGTGGTGGCGCACGCCTTTAATCCCAGCACTTGAGAGGCAGAGGCAGGCAGGTCTCTGTGAGCTCGAAGCTAGTCTGGTCTACAGAGGGAGTTCCAGGACAGCCAGGGCTATAAAAAGAAAAAGAGAAAGGAAGGAAGGAAGGAAGGAAGGAAGGAAGGAAGGAAGGAAGGAAGGAAGGAAGGAAGGAAGGAAGGAA